ATATTTTTTTATTAGTGATGTGGGACCCATTTGAATATATTTGGTGCCATGTCAACCAAAGGTAAATTTCTTTATTAATGATGTGGGACCCATTTGAATAGATTTGGCACATAGTAACATGACATGTCAAAATATTTGTTCATGTCATCACTTTTCTCAATTTTGCTTTCCACATCATCAAAAAAAATATAAAAAATGCCACGTAAACGAAGTTCACGGCTCAAATTAACAGAAGAACTAACGGAGTGCATTTCTTATAGTTGAGGGATAAAAAATGTGCATTTCTTAAAGTTGAGGGACCAAATTTAGCATTTAACCAAAAAAATATAAAAAATGCCACATGACGGAATTAACAGTATAAATTAACAAAAGAACTAACGGTGTGCATTTCTTATAGTTGAAGAATCAAAAAAGTGCAAAAAATTATTGAGGGACCAAAAATATGTAACTCACTAAAGTTGAGGGACCAAATTTAACATTTAACCAAAATTTTATTATTAAAGGTACAAGCAATACACTCATTTTATACTCACATAATTTAGACTCACAAACCAAAATTGACCATAATCCAACTTAAAACAGCAATTCACGTTATTGAAAAAATTGAGATTACAAGAGCACACAGGCTTATGTTGCAGCAAAAATCACTAAGCAAAGCACCACCGTCCATTATTAGTTTACTTCAAATTGTGTTACTTTAAATTTTGAAGGCGTTTGTTGAGGAAGACAATCAGCTCATCTCTAGAAGGAAGATATTCCTTGATGATGGGGTGCTCAACGTACTCCTCACTCCATTTGAATAAATCGGGGAATTTCTCCTCTGTCAGCAGCTCAACCCCAAAGATTTCTTGAAATGACCTAAGCCAGAAGGCGATGAAGTTGGCAGCAATATCAACCAACCCCAAAGTCTCCCCTCCAGCGAATTTCTTGTCCTTGAGGGCACCTTCAAGTGTTTTCAGACAATCCCAAGCTTCTTCCACTGCTTTCTCTCGCTCCTTCTCCTTAGCCCAAAATGCTTTCCCTGCCGCAGCCACGCACTAAATTCACAAGGAGAGAACGTAATTTAGACTCAGATCATGTTCATCAAAATTTTGAAATTGATTCCGTAAAATGGGAATTAAAGTAGAAACTATGGTTGAGTAAGAGACAGGTTTACCTTTTCATCTATATATTTAGCCCAGAAACGAGCGGTGGCTCTGTCGTAAGGGTCCTCAGGCAAGATGGGATTGGCCTTCCATGTTTCGTCGATGTACTCGAGAATAACGAGGGATTCGACAATGGACTTTCCGTTGTGCAGGAGCACCGGAATTTTCTTGTGAATGGGATTGTATTTCAGGAGCAGAGGACTCTTGTTGGTGAGATCCTCTTCTATGTATTCATAGGAAATGCCTTTGAGTTTGAGAGCAACCTGTATTCTGCTGCTAAAAGGGCTTCCACATGCTCCAAAAAGCTTCACTTCTTCAGCCATGGCGACTCGATCGATCTTGTCTCAGTAAATCTCTCTGAATGTAAACCTCACTGAATTAGAAAC